CATTTCGACCACTCATGTGGCCAGTGATCAGTGTTTGGGCGAGCGGTCAATGTTTTCAATGAGCGAGCGAGCGAAAAAAAAACGCGATTAAAATGCGGTCGGTTTCCGGTCGGACAAGACCGCGTGGTCGGAAATTAAGCGATAAGCGGTCGATGTAAAAGCGGAAGGTTGGGCGAAATGAGTACTGTATGACCATGTTTTCCGACGAAGTCTCGACTGACAATAATGCTGACAATGGACGTTAGATAAACACGCATTGTTTGCAACTGGAAGCTTATCACCCGTTATATCAGAATCGTCAACAACAGAGTATACAGATAAGATTTTATCATTTAATTCCTTCCAAAGATAAACACTATGCAAATATCCACGAAACGGCAGTTGTAGTCTTTTCTGCTAGTGTTTTAAAACACTGATTTGAGCAACGTTATTTCGCAATTTCGATCTTTTGTAAATCTGGGGTGATGTATCAAGGTCTAAAGTAACCGTTTTATCAATTTTTGAAAAATCAAGAAAAAAGTGAAAATTTCCCTTCTCGCTACCTTAATGCATGTGTAGATACAATGATTGTAATCACTATGTAAGCTATTGCTAACTTCACATATTTTGTTATCTAAATATAATTGGCGAACTAATTCAAAAAATAAATACTGATATCTAGGTTTCAATTGAAAAATACATTACATAAATGCAAATAAAAGAGCAAAATTAATCCAATTACTACTCAAACCATAAACGTTTCATAACATATGCACGTCAATTTGTTTCACAGTCTGATTCAAGATGGCCGAATTGCGGCCATTTTTGTACTGAATAATCATCAAAATCAAGTATTTCTCGGCTGTTTACAGATGGATTTTGTTCAAACTTGGTGTATACATTGGACATTGTGGGACCTTGATGCAAATCATTTTGTTTTTCAGATAATAATCAAAATGGCCGCCAGTCGGTTAATGAATGTGGTTCTAGTGCCATATCTTGCTGTGACTGATTATATTCAAATTTTAAATATTAATTATACATCATGTCATTGATATACAGATATATTGGTTTGACGATCCTATTCAAAATGGCTGAATTGTGACCATTTTTGCGCTAAAAAATCATCAAATATCAAGCATTTCTTGCATTTATGGATGGATTTCGTACAAACTTGGTACATACATTACGGGTTGAAGCTGACTTATCTTTGATTTGGATGATTTCATTTTGGTTCAGTATCCTCACAGTTCTGTTAGAGGGCACACTGATTGAATGGTGACATACAATATTGAATGTTGTTTCTCTGCTGTAGGTGAAAAGAGTGTCAGACTCGGAAGAACCTGAGACTGAGACGGATAAATGTACAATATGCTTGTCACAATTTGAAGTAAACGATGATGTTAGGTAAGATTGCTCTTGGCTTTTGATGTTATCTGGGTTGTGCTATGTTTTTTTTTATCCTATCATTGCTACACTATTGTGCATCTGATTTCGGGGATGGGGGGGGGGGGGTCTATAGGTTGTAAAATTGTTTGTATGTGCACTTGTGTAGTGACTTTTTGACAAGAACCTGTTATTTGCACTTGAATACCAGTTTATGGGCAAATTTTGTCACAACAGATTGCAAGCTAGTGTTAACATTTATCATAAATATGAAGAGTTTTGAGCATATGAAAGTTTTGATTGTTCTAACTTCAGTTTAAAATACTGTTGATTATGAATTGTTGGCCTTTGTGAAAAATTATAAAATATTTTGATAATAGGAATTTGTTACAACTTGATGTCTATACGTATACATTGGTTGCAAATAATCTCGGAGGGGTAACAGACTGCCGGTATAAGAGTTCAAACAAGAATACATGAAACTTTTTCTTGCAGTGTACTGTCTTTTCAGTCCCTGTTTAGGTGCAGTGCAAAAACTGATACTTATGGATACACCTGTGTGTGTGTGTGCATCTTGAACCTGCATCTTGGATATGCCTGGGCCAATCTCATTCAACTTCATGCACACACATCGTGCATCTTGAGAGACATGTGCGGATTCATTCGTTTCACAATCCAATTAGTCATACATCAGGTCACACATGTTTGATGATCTAATTTAAGATGGTGGCTGTATTAATGTTAATAATACACCAAAACTAAGAATTTCTGCCATTCCAGAACTTCTCATTTGTGTATAGACAAATTTTGTTAAACATGCATTGAACATATTAGAACCATTTGATTACATCAAATTAAATTGTGTTCCAGAGCCTTGTTTCTGTTTCAAATTTTATACATTTCTTGCACTTGATAACTCACAGGGACTGTGTAATGTGATTACTTATTTGTATTTATGCAATCACCTCTGTAATCATAATTGTGTATTGATACGAACAATTTTTTTATTTTCCTCCAGACGTTTACCATGCATGCATCTATTCCACATTGCCTGTGTTGACCAGTGGTTGGCGACCAATAAACGTTGCCCTATATGCCGTGTGGACATAGAAACTCAACTTACAAAAGATCCTTCATAGAAGTTCACAGCATTCTGTATAATAATAGTAGAAGAGGAGAAATAAAACTACATTGTGAAGTGTACTTTCAGACATGCATTCGTCTGAACCATGTGTTCGTACATGTTGTGTGTAGGTGTAGGAGTAGTTGTCTGTATTTACACATATAGATATATATTGATATCTAGTGTTATAGAATGCATGAAGAAGGCAAGATTACTCAGAAGAAGGTTCTGGATGTTGGCTCATACACTGACGCAATCTTCACGGAAAGCGTCCTGCCATGAAACACCACAACATTAGTAATCCAGTTTCAGTTACTGTTAACCATAAAGTAACATAATTTGTAAGCAATGTACGAAACAAACTTACAGGAAAGTCGCCAAACCACACCCCCCCCCCCCTCCCCGATCTTCGATAATTAACAAATTCCCTCATAAAATTAAAGTGGTTTACTGCACGCCTGAAATTTTACTTTAAGAATTCAAGCATTGATTGAAATTTCAAATCAGTGATGGCCCTCAGAATATTTTAAACCCTCTTTCTTAGTATTTATTGAACTGCCTGGCTTGCACTGTCTGTTTCAGCAATGTTAAGCATTTAATCTGAAATTTGTACCAGTAAATGATCACTAACAAACCTGCTCATTCAAAAAATGACATTTATCAGAATAATCATCAAATTTCGAATGAACTGTTTTTATTCTAGCCTTCTTGGGAAATTAGTAATCAATTTAACACCTGTGTGATAAATGTACTTTTTCACCACAAATTCACACTTCAAAATAGACAAATTTTTGGAGTTAAAAACTGAAAATTGATTTAAATATTGTCGGTTTGCTCCAAAATTAGGGTTCATTTCCAGAAATATTGACGAATGAAAAGGTTAAAAACTGGCGCTTCAGACCCATGTGGGGAGGGAGATCTTCTTCCTACATACATTTACGTAAAGATTTATTTATCAAGTTTTGACATTAAATTAACATTTAAAAAAAAACAAATTTTATTTGAAATATATTATTAAATATAAAAAAAAATGGCTAACGAAGATCAACAAATAATAATGCCAAATAACCAAGATTTGTTCTGCATTCTTAGATATGTTTATATAATTCTAATTTCAACGTGTGCATGAGACTCGCTCCTGTAATCGGGCTACTTAATTAATGGCGTCTTATTGATATATATATTGAGCCTAAATTCAGATTACATTAAAAGGAATGTAGCTATGCTAGATCTCTATGTAATATTGTGAATAGATATATATTATGTATATTAGTATTAAACAGTGTCTTTTTGTATCGTGTCTTGCGTTTTTTACCAATCACATACTTTTGAGCTAACTTTGGTAATTTACTGAGATATTAAAGTGAGAGTCATAACAATGTCATGGGTTCCTTGCGATGTATGTGTATAAAATGCATCGTTTTACAAAAAACTCTTGCGGTTGTATTCATAGGTGAAATTCAATGAACACTATGATTGTGGTGTGTTAAGGCTCTTGACAGTCGATACACCCCCCCCCCCCCAAACAATAAATTCTTGGTTTGATTTTTTAGAGCTTTAAACCTATGAACTTTGTTAGCATTCTGATGAGCTATCGCTGTTTCTGTGTCGTGTTGTCATTTTCTTTGCAGACATTGAGAATACATACATTTTACATAGTATATATTTGCATTTGTGAGCTTTCATTCAACTATACAAGAGAACATTTTACCCAAGTGTAAGTTTTTTTCTCAGTAGAATAAACCACAGAATTGGCCTACTGTCAGTGATGTCAGTATAATTAAAAATTATGTCATTGGCATAATGTCATTTACTTTGACTGAACAGACTTGTGTATGGTAGTTTGTGTTAAAAATGACATGTTCACATTGTCAACCTTAAATCTGCGATCCAATATCATTCCTGTAGCTTTATAGGAGTTTGAAATTGTGGAAAATTTTATTTGCTAACACTATTTAAAGGGACACCTTCATTTGAGTCTAATTTTACAGCAAATTAACTTTCTTGATTGAAACAAGAGATTAAGAGTGTCACATGATTCCCTGGTGCAACCATGTCCCTTTAAAC